CTGGGTTATGGCTGTATTCGAGAGGGCAGGCACCAGGTCTCTGTCTTGTTCACTGCTCTGTCTCTGCGGCACTTAGAACACAGCCTGGAACACAGTACGAGCTAGACAAACATGTGGAGTAAACATCCCCTCAGTAAGCGTAGCAAGTGATTCCTAGCTCTTCTGTAGTAGGGAGATTAAACATGGCTGCAAACGTTTTTCCGTTCTTTCCACTGAGAGGCAGAGTCTGACTCCATTCTTCTTGAACGTGGGCTGGTCTTGGTGACTTGCTTGATGGATAGAATTTGGAGGACGTGAGATTCTGGGACTTCTAGGTCATTAGAAGCCGAGCAGCCTTCAGCCGGGTCCCTAACGTTCTCACTGATAGCCCCGAACCACCATTTATGAAGTCCAGCTCCGTGAGGCCACCATACCGGTGAGGCTGCGTGTGGGGCGGCTGATCTTTCCCAGTCCAGCTCTCTAGCCTCCTCTACTGGGGCCAGGCCTGGCAGGGAAGCTTGGAGCCATCCATCTGCCAGCTCAGTGGCATTAAGGGACCCCCACTGATGCCACCTGAAAAAGAATTACCCAGCTAAGTGCTGCTCAAGCTTCTGAGTCACAATTTATGAGACACAATAAAATGGCTCTTACTTTAGACCTCTGTGTTGGAGGGTGCCTCATTACAGAGCAAGAGTCAGAACTTGTAATACTGGTTTCGGGGAAGTCCCTACGTCGATTTTCCATTCCACCTTCGCCCATCCCACGCTCTGTGTGCCCCCTGACGACTATCACCATCCGGAGTCTTACTAACTCCCCAGCACCCAACCTTTGATGTGGCTTTAACAGAGGTGCCTACTTGATTGAGCTTCCATTTGAACATGGCTGGGAAATCCCCTGAGAGCAAGTCTGGCTGTTTAGTAGGTAGTGAAGAGAGCTGAGTTGTTCTGGGTCAAGGGCCAAATTTTCCCGCTGACCCCTTCAACCTTTGTGATGGTGAAATCACCAACTCCCGGGGAGAGGCCCTTTCCTTAGAGGTCTGCTCTGCTCACCCACAGGCCTGGTTGGACGGTTTTCACATTGAGAGTTGGGGAAATCAGCCACAGGCTGGGGCTGCCCTGCTTTCACTGAGGACTTGCTCCCTGGCCGGGCCTGTCGCAGGTACAGTGAACTCCGCTGGCATCACCAGGCCTCGTCGTCAAGGAGCTTCTGTGGGCCCCATGGCTGCAGTTAGAGGACTGAACCCGAGGGTGTGCTCAGAGGGTGTGGTTCTGGATGGAGCCGTTTGGACATGTCTGACAGCACCACAGACTCAAGAGACACTTGAGGAGCTGGAGGCCTCTTGACCTTCTCCAGGGCCTCTGGAAGGGGCTGCGTGGGGATGGCCCTGGGGCTCTGCCAGCCCATCCTGAGCCGCAAGGGCTCTCTCTTCTCACTTGCTTCACTGCTCCTCAAGCACATGGGTGGGTGGGTGAGGTGGGGACCCTTCTCCTGGCAGAAGCAGCCAGGGTCTGGACAAGGCTGAGGACAGGAGGCGTCTGTGATGCAGTGAGACAGGCACATCAGGGCTGGACCTCACGGAGCCTCAGACCCTCTATGTTGCTCTGGGCCACTGTCATTTTTGCACCATGTGGGGTTCACGAGGACAGGGGATCCCCAGGTCCTGCCTACTGACCTACAGAAACAAGGACTTCGGGTGAGGCCTGGCTCTCTACATTCGTGACAAGTCTGGGTGTTCATAAGGAAGCCAGGCAGTGTAGAGATTAACACCACAGACTCTAGAGTTAGGCTGCAGGGGTTCAAACGTGGACTCCAGGATTCAGTGCCCATTTAATAATTCTGGCGCCTCAGTTTCCAACATGAATTGCAGATAATTACAACCTCAGTGGCTTGTTAAGAGGATCAAACACAGCAGATGAGTTAGGTATGAGGGCAAGCCCCAGTGAGTGCGCTCTAACTGTGAGCTCCAGCTCCCCAGAGAGTGGCAAGAGACGAAATGCAGAGAGCTGTACTCAGTACAGGGTCAGAGCTCAATAAATGTTGGCTGAATGGAGGACAAGAGCAGGACACAGCCAGTCACACCACTGGCAAAACCATGCCATGAATATTTATTTTCATAGCAGCCTCTGGCATTGTTCTAGGGGCTGGTGGCTCACAAAGGAATAAATCATTCTCTGCCCTTCAGATGCTCACAGAGGTGGAAACGGGTGGTAGAAAGCAATGTGTTAAGTGCAATATGAGGAAAAGGCTCTGGGCATGCCAGCCTTGGAGAGGTGAGGAAGGTTTCCTAGAGGAGGTGATGTCAAAGGTGGATCTGAAGGATGAGTAGGAGTTATGCAGGGAAAGGCAGCTGAATGCCAGGTGTAATAGGGCACATTCTGAGCCTCCCAATGATTCACACCGAGAGAGATGTGTGGTGGAAGTGATAGACTGCCGGGGGTTGAGGCTGGAAAGATGAGCAGCATCAGAGTCTTGGGTTGACTGGGTGCCTGATGCCTGCAGGTCTGACTAGCTCATCTCACGCACTGCACATCCTTATCATGAAGGCTGCCTTGCGTGTCACCCAATAACACGTCCCTGGATCAGTCAGTTGGCACCCTATTTCAGCGTCCAGAGTGTAAAAAGTCACCGAGGTCGAAACCCCTGCCCAGCCACTTTCAAGTAGATGAGTGTCAAATTTAATAATTTGGAGTCCATGTTTCAAAACCACCACATGGAGATTCGGGGACAAGTTCCTGAAGGAGAGTACATGGGCTAAGTCTTGAAAGGTAGGAGTAGGAGTGAAGAGAGAGAGCAGAGGAGAGGGATGTGCCATTCGGGGACCAGCAAGTGTAAACACAGGGGACAGGAGGCCTCCAGGCTGGGTCAGAGGACTCTACTTAAGGCCCGAGAGGGGACGATATGTGCTGAGAGGGCGGTGGGAGATGAGCAGGAGCCAGAGACCAAGGCCCTCGGGTGCTAAGTTCAGGAGTCTAGAATTCATCCTGAATGGAGAACTAGCAAAGGGTTTTAAGCAGAGGAGTAAGGTGATCAGTGGATTCACTAGGATGGTCTTGGCTGTAAGTGACAAAACACAGGACCAAAGAGGCGTAAGTGGTGGAAGCTGTCAATTTCCCATAGGGAGGAAATGCTAGGGTTGGTGCAGTACTCTGGCAATGTCATCAAAAACCATGGCCCCTTCTACCTCATGTACTAGCCTCAGTGCCTCTGTAATATCATTCCTCATGCCTGCAGGATACCTGCTATGGTATCAAGTATCACAGCTTTGTACTGCACTGAGGGCAGGAAATAAGGAAACATGTCTAAACAAGCAGCTTTTCACTGGGGGCAATTTTGTGACGTCTGGTGGCCATTTTTGCTCATCACAGCTTGGGGAAGCTACTGACATCTAGCAGGTAGAGGCCAGGGATGCTGACAAACAGGACAAACTCCTACAAAAGAAAATTAACAAAATAGCTATTGTGTCGAGGTTGAAAAACCCTGGTCTAAACTGATCGAGTGCCCTTAGTTTATATGGGGCAGTGGATCTGCCTCCCTCACTGGACCTTTGGAACTAACACCCTGCCCAAAGATTCAGTTTCACAGTTTAGCTGCTGAGGGACCTGAGACATATCAGTGTACTATAAAGCTACAACCATATAAATTTTTAGATAGATTGAAATGTAAGAAGTGAAAATTAAACAACCTTCAGGACAGAAATAGTTATCAGATGGGGAATGAACATACTTATATATATATATTACATATAAATATAAATACAATATGCATATAGTTTTCATTACATGTCATTTGAGAAGGGCATTACTATTGCTGAGACATTGAATTGGTTTGCAGGACATAGCTTTCTCTATCCTTAATCTTTAGTTCCTGGAATTTCCATTCCATTGTTGTAGTCAGTGTAATGTCTTCTTTCCTTTCGATTTTCTGAAGCAGAACTTGTTGGACTGGCCTTGTTGTGATGGCGGCAGTGATGGTGGGAAGGGGCGAAGAGACTGACTCAAAAGGCAGGTGCTGCCAACATAGAAGAAGTTCAGCTTGTCTACAGGCAACCCAGAACCTGAAATACCTCTATTTCCGCTAGAGGTTTCTGGTTTGACCTAATTTTTTCAGAGATATGATGCTGATTTGGTGCTTTCTTTTTTTCTTCCTAATCAGCTTCCTTTTCCTGTGTTGTTGTTGTTGTTGTTGTTGTTTTATCGTGGTCCCTGCCATTAGTTTTGTTTTTTGAAAATGAGAATTTGAGCTCCACTGATTAGATGTGGGTATAAGTATGCCATGGGGATGTGTGTGTGCTTGCATATGTGTGGTTGTGTGCCCCTGTGTGTGTATGGTGGGGTGGTTCATATAGATTTCCATATCAACACAACTTAGCTGACAAAGTTCTGGGCTCCCTCAATGATAAAGATGGGTCTCCTTTCAACACACCCTCACTATGTAATCAACAGTTGAAGATAATATAATTAAAAATAGTAAACCCACATACTGTGCCTAGAAATCTTCAACAAGTGAATTACCAGAAAATAAAGAGCACCCTTTTCAATAATCCAAGGATCAAAGAGGACTCAAGAAGAATTAAAAAAAAAAAAAAGATGAATGGGATAAAAATGAAAACACAACATCAAATTTTGTGGGACACAGCTAAAAGCAGCGACGAGAGGGAAATTTTTAGCACTAAATGTTTACATTAGGAAAGAGAAAATATCTCACATAAATAATCTAAGCATTTATCTTAAGAACCTAGAGAAAGAGACGCAAAATAAACTCAAGTAGAAGGACGGAAAAAATGAAGAGAACTGATAAAATGGCAAACATACAACCAACAGTGAAACGAAACAAAAAAGTATGTTCTTTGAAAAGATCGATAAAAGGGATATGCCTCGAGAAAGACTAAAAAAAAGGGACGGGCCGAGGCAGTGGACGGCCGGAAGCGGATTGGCGGCGCTCCCCGGCGGGGCCGCGGAGAGCCGAGGGTTCAAGATGGCGGGCGCCGAAGGCGGCCCCGGGGCGCGGTGAGCTGTGCATACCTGGCTGCCCAGCCACGCCGTGTTCTCGCGGCTCCGAGAGGGACGGAAAAATCAGAGCTCTGCTGAAACTGAGAAGCCGGCTTCATCACTGCCTTGGTCGCCGCCGCTGCCTCTCTGTTGTTGACGAGAAACCTGGGCTTGGGCCTCGCGGAGAGCGCTTTCTGTGGGACGCAGAAGACAGCTCCTTCTTAGTCCTGCGCCTTCGGGGCCCCAGTGGCGCCAGTGAGAAGCCCTCCCTCTCCCAGTACCAGAGACGGCTTTGCATAAATCCACCCCTGTTTGAAATCTATCAAGCCTTGTTAAGCCTAGCGCAACATCATGTAGCACTTACGGGAATAAAAGGACTCATGATATTAGGATTACCTAAAAGATGGGGAAAGAATTCTGAATTTGAAGGTGGAAAATCAGCAGTGAATTGTAGCACGACTTCCGTTGCTGAGAGATTTCTCACCAGTTCAGCCTCTCCGACTCTGAAGCATGCTGCCTGGTACCCGAGCCCCCACATGGTGCCGTTAACGTCAGACAACGTCAAAAGAATTTACCCTTTGCGTGACCCCCGTCATCCAACTTTCAGAAGCAGAAGGGGAAAGTCTCATACTCAACAAAGGAAGGGCCTACACCGCATCTCTGGGAGAAACAGCAGTTGCATTTGACTTTCGGCCATTGTCAGCAGCCCGAAGCACATATTTGGATAAAAAGGCAAAGCAGAAGTAGTGGCTTACTCCCTGTACATCTTATATGAGAATGAGACTTTCCTTACACATGTTAGTCTGTTGCACAGCCTGGGGGTGTGGGGAAGCTATTGGGCCCGTTGCCCATGCATCCTGCTGCTGAAGAGAACTATGGCTACGATGCTTGTGCTGGGCTCTGCTTACCATGTGTCGCCAACATCTTGGTGATTACTACTGCGTCAGGAATGCTTCATCACTGCGTTGTGCTGGAGGGGTAAGAAGAAGATGACCAAACATCAGCAAAGTCCTGGGATTCCAGGACTGACCTCATTCCGTCACTGTATGTGTTTGAGTGTGTTGAGTTGGAGTTTGCTCTGAAACTGGCATCAGCAGAGGATGAGCCCTTTGGTTCTGACTTTTCTTGTCCAATCAAACTTCACAGAGATCCCAAGTGTCCCTCAAGATACCACTATACTCATGAAGCTGGTGTACATAGTGTTGGGCTACTGTGGATTCATAAACTTCACAAGTTTCTTGGATCAGATGAAGAAGACAGGGACAGTTTACAGGAACTGGCTACAGAACAGAAGTGCTTTGTAGAACACATTCTTTGTAGGAAGCCACTGCCATGCAGTCAGCCAGCTCCTTTTCGAGGATTCTGGATCATCCCTGACATCCTGGGGCCAACAATGATCTGCATCACCAGTACCTATGAATACCTCGTCAGGCCTTTACTAAGCACAGTCCATCCAGTGTCTCCTCCCTGGCTTTGTACCCGAGAGAATGTTGAAGTGGCAGAGTCTCCCCTCCGTATTCTGGTTGAAACCCGGGATTCCTTTGAAAAGCATATTAGAAGCATTTTGCAAAGTAGTGTTGCAAATCCAGCATTTTTGAAATCATCTGAAAAAGATACAGCTCCTCCTCCCAAAGAATGTCTTTAGCTCATCAGCAGAGCCACTCAGGTGTTCAGAGAATACTACATTCTTAAACAGGACCTGGCAAAGGAGGAGATTCAGCAGAGGGTCAAATTGTTATGTGACCAAAAAAGAAACAATTAAAAGATCTCAATTATTGTTGAGAGGAGAGGAAAAGTCTACGGGAATTGGATGAGCACTTAGCTGACAAATATGAGGACACCAAGGAAAAACAAGAAGACATCAGGAACAGGATGAAAAAAGTACTTCACAGTTTTCAGTCTCAGCTCCCAGTTCTCTCTGACAGTGGGAGAGACATGAAGAAAGAATTATAGCTGATACCTGATCAACTTCGACATTTGGGCAATGCCATCAAATGGGTTACTATGAAAAAAGACTATCAACCACAAAAGATGGAAAAGGTACTGAGTCCTCAAAAGCCCACCATTACTCTCAGAGCCTACCAGCAAAAATGCATTCAGTCCATCCTGAAGAAGGGTGAGCACATAAGAAAAATTGTGAAGCAAATTAATGACATCCAAAATTATGTAAACTTCTGAACCACCAAGAACAGACTCACATCTGAGTTAACACACATAAAGGCTTAATCTCACTGTAAAATGAACAAGTAGTACTAATTTATAAAGAGGCAGGTGCCTTGTTAGCACAGTAGGTAGCGCATCAGTCTCAATTTTTAAATGAGGCATTCTGGATGAACTTTGGTGTGATTGTACATCACTTTTTATACTGTTTTATAATTAAATAAATGCTTGTATTAAAAAAAAGAGGAAGACATTATTGAACACTAATAACAGGAAGGAAACTGGGTATCACTACAGATTCTGCAGACATCAAAGGAAATAATCAAATCATATGAACATCTATAACTTAGATGAAGTACATGAATTCCTCAAAAAACAGATTATCACAACACACTCAATATAAAATAAATAACTTGAATAGCCCTTCAAGGAAATTGAAGTCACAATTTAAAAACTTTCGAGAAAGAAATTTCCAGATAATTTGACTGGAGGATTCTTTCAAATGTTTAAAGAAGAATTATCACCCATTCTACATAATCTTTTATTTACAGAAAATAAAAGAAGAGAGAACACTTCACACCTCACTTTGTGAGACCAGTATTATCCTGCTACCAAAACTGGATAAAGATGGTATCAAAAAGTACATAGTATAACGGTGGATCAATATCCTTCACAAATGCAAATAAAAAAAACCTTTAATATTAGCAAATAGAATACAGGGTTTATTCCAGAGATGCAAGGCTAGTTTGATACTTAAAGTCAATCAATGAAATTCACTGTATTAAAAGGCTGAAGAAAAACCACATAATCATATCAATCAATACAGAAAAATAATTTGACAAAATTCAACAACTATTTATGATAAAACTCAGAAAAAATAAGGGATGCGGGGAACTTCCTCAATTTGATAAAAACGTGCCTATTAAAAAACCAACAGCTAATAAAATACTAACGTTGAAAGACAAATGTTTTTCCCTAAGATTGGGAGCAAGGCAAGGGTGTCTGTGTTAACTACTTGTGTTCAATACAGTACCGGAAGCCTTGGGCAGCACAAAAAGGCAAGAGGAAATAAAAGACATACAGGATGAAAAGGAATAAATGAATCTGTCTCTGTTTGCAGCTGACATAATGGTCTAATAACATCCAAAAACAAAACAAAACTGAAGCAATTTCTAGGATAGTAAATGAGCTTAGCAAAGCTGCAAGATATAAGATCAACATATAAAAATCAATGGCATTTCTATATACTAGCTAGAAACACATGGAAAGCAAAATTAAAGTACAATATTATATTTACAACCTCTCTTGCAAAAAAGGAATACCTGTGCATAAATCACCAAAATGTACAAACTATGTATACTAAAAATTGCAAAATATTGATGAAATAAAATTTTTAATAAGCTATATAAATGAAGACACACTCATTGGTTGGAAGATTCATCATGGTAAAATTGTCAAATCTCCCTCAAATGATATATGATTATAATGAAATTTCTAGCAAAATCCTCCAGGATTTTTTGCAGGCAGAGTCAGACTTATTCTAAAATTTATGTAATAAGCAAAGGAACTAAAATAACTGAAACATTTTGAAAAAAGGAAAGAAATGGGAGTAATCACCCTACTCTATTTCAGGACTCATTATGCAGCTATCATAATTTAGACTGTAGTACTGGCAGAGGGGTGGACATGAAGATTAATGGCAGAGAATGGAAAGCCCAGAAATAGCCCCACACCAGTGAGGCCATCTGATTTTTGACACAAGTGCAAAAGTAATTCACTGGAGGAAGGACAGGCTTTTCAACAAATGGTGCTAGAGCAACTGAATATTTATTAAAAAAAAGAAAAGAACCTTAATTTAAATTTTGAATTAGTGATCAATGCAAAGAAATAGAGGGAAACAACAGAATGGAAAAAAGCAGCGATCACTTCAAGAAAATTAGAGTTACCAAGGGAACATTTCATGCAGAGATGGGCACAATAAGGGAAGGAAACGGTATGGACCTAATAGAAGAAGAAGGTATTAAGAAGAGGTGGCAAGAATACACAGAAGAACTGTACAAAAAAGATCTTCATCACTCAGATAACCACAATGGTGTGATCATTCACCTAGAGCCAGACATCCTGGAGTGCAAAGTCAAGTGGGCCTCAGGAAGCATCACTACGAACAAAGCTAGTGGAGGTGATGGAATTCCAGTTGAGCTATTTCAAATCCTAAAAGATGATGCTGTGAAAGTGCTGCGCTCAATATGCCAGCAAATTTGGAAAACTCAGCAGTGGCCACAGGACTGGAAAAAGTCAGTTTTCATTGTCCCAAAGAAAGGCAATGCCAAAGAATGCTCAAACTACCGCACAATTGCACTCATCTCACACACTAGTAAAGTAATGCTCAAAATTCTCCAAGCCAGGCTTCAACAGTACGTGAACTGTGAACTTCCAAGTGTTCGAGCTTGATTTAGAAAAGGCAGAGGAACCAGAGATGAAACTGCCAACTTCCACTGGATCATTGAAAAAGCAAGAGCATTCCAGGAAAACATCTACTTCTGCTTTATTGACTACGCCAAAGCCTTTGACTATGTGGATCACACCAAACTGTGGAAAATCCTTAAAGAGATGGGAATACCAGACCACCTGACCTGCCTCTTGAGAAATCTGTATGCAGGTCAGGAAGCAACAGTTAGAACCGGACATGGAACAACAGACTGGTTCCAAACAGGGAAAGGAGTACGTCAAGGCTGTATATTGTCACCTTGCTTATTTAACTTCTATGCAGTATACATCATGTGAAATGCTGGGATGGATGAAGCACAAGATGGAATCAAGATTACCGGGAGAAATATCAATAACCTCAGATATGCAGATGACACCACCCTTATGGCAGAAAACAAAGAACTAAAGAGCCTCTTGATGAAAGTAAAAGAGGATAGTGAAAAAGCTGGCCTAAAACTCAACATTCAAAAAACT